AAAAAAAAAAACTATTTTGACTTTTACCAAGGTTCAAGTGCCTTTTAAAATGAATATTACTTTTTCAATTAAAAAAAATATGAAAGACTTTTACAAATGAGTATTTTCCCAATCTTGTCAATTAACATTTCTGTAGTGTAGATTAACATACAAAATATTTTCACATTTGCTATCTAGTTAGTATTGAGAGCAACTCTGCTAGAAGGTAAAATAAGTGTAATTACCACATCCCCTCTAACCTGGATGAAGAACAGTTAGTATACAGACTGCTCAAATACAGTTTAAAATTTTAAGTTCCACCTTTTATCCACATTAATTTATAGCAATTTATTTCTTAAATATCACTTATATATCACTACTCTCAGCAATTATAGCTAAATTTTTTCAGGTCATCTGGCAAAAATACGTACAAACAATAACAAACATTCCCCAGAACTACTATGACTTAAGTCCTCAGTAAAATGTTTAGTGTAGTCAAATTCTACAAGGATTATAAGAGGACAAAGACATCACAATAGGCATAAGTATTTTTGATAGCAGCTATAATTTTCCATAATGTAAAATTAATCTCGATGTTCTTTAATTTCAATTTCTTCTGAAAACTTTAACACAAATAAAGGCTAATCACTTAGAAAATGTATTTAGAAAATTTCCTTTTATATGTAAATATAATTAACAATTTATCCATTAGCAGAAAAAATGATTTTGGTCATTTGTGTTTTCAAAGTGTTTCATATTAACTTTGAAGCTTAAGGGAAGAGGTTGAATACAAAATCAACAATGTAAATATACACCTGCACAATAAAAAATACCAGTAAAATAATGGTAACTTACTTACTAATAGGTAATGAAGAAAAATTTATGGGGTGATATTTCAGGTACATGTAGATATAGTAATTAAGTGAACTATTAGATGACAAAATGAGGAAGAGAAATATTTAAAAGGCTCAGTGTTATGGTTATTGATTATTTTTATAGAAACTTTTAAGCATACCACTGTTTCAATTTCTAGCTGATAAACTGTTGATATAAATAAGTAATATATATAAATATATAAATAGTTCAATTATTTAAAGGTATTTTTTAACTAT